TCTATTTGCTATCCCTAGATTTAATTTTTTAACTCATGGAGCTGAGTGCTTAGAGAATTTATTTTCAGCTTCACTCCTACTATAAACATTTAAGTATGGTGTTAGTTGTGTTCTGAAATATTTGACAAGTTTAGTTTTCATTACCATTCAAAGAAAAATTTGCTGATTTTCATTTGTATTCATTTTTTTAGCTTTAAATTATTCAAAAGTACTTATATCAAGTAATTTTCAAATGAGAAGATTTTAATATTACCTTCCTTTTTTATTGACTTCTAACCTAATTGTACTACTGCCAGAAAATATACTCCACATAATTTTAGTTTTTAGATCTTTGTTGAGATTTGTCTTATACCTATCACTTAGCTAATTGATATTTGATGTGAATTTTGCCTTTGCTGGGTACAGAGTATGTAAATTAGGTCAAGTTTATTGATGGCATTGTTAAAAATCTATTATATTCACATGGAATTTCTGTCTCTTGGCCTATCAATTACTAAGAGATAGCTGTTAAAATCTCCCTATGATAATGGGTTTGTCCGTTTTCCTTTTAGTTGTGTCATATTTCCTTTAGTTTTGTCATTATACATTTAGAAACTGCATTATTAAGTGCAATAAATTTAGACTTGTAATATTTTAGAAAGATTGTGCCATTTGTTATAACGAAATTCTATTGTTTATTGCCAATAATGTCTCTTACCTTATCGTCTAACTTCTCTCATAAATATATTGCTATACTGAATTTCTTTAAAATACTTTTTCATTTTACATATATTTCATCTTTTATTTTAGATGTTTTGTGTTGCTGCATTTTAGGTGTGTCTCTCTTAATCAACATTGAGTTAAAAGTGTTTTTTTCACCTGATCTAAAAATTTTTGTTTTTGACTGCTCACTTATTTACGTATTATATTAAGGGTTTTAAAGTTACCCTCTTACCCTTCATTTCATACTTGTCAACCCATTCTAGATGTCTTTTCCTTTGCTTTGAGCACTTTCTTGAATTAATATTTTTATCATTTCTTTTCTTCTATTTTATCTTGTTAATTATATGTTCTATTGTTATTCTTTTAGTGGCTACCCCAGAGATTACAATGAGTATTCTAGAATGATTAAAATCTGAAATAAATTAGTGCTTTCACCACCACCAAGGAGATGTAGAGGTGTTAGGACACTTTGATTGAATTTACCTTCTTCTCATGTTTTATTCTAATATTGTCATGTATTTTGGTTCTCAGACTTCCCAGGTGGCTCAGTGGTGAAGAATTCTCCTGCCCATGCAAGAGATGTGGGTTTGATCCCTGGGTCAGGAAGATCTTGGGTCGGGAAGATCCCTCGGGTAGGAGATGGCAACCCACTCCAGTATTCTTGCTTGGGAATTTCCATGGACAGATCGCATGAGGTGGCCAAAGTATTGGAGTTTCAGCTTCAGCATCAGTCCTTCCAATGAACACCCAGGACCGATCTCTTTTAGGATGGACTAGTTGGATATCCTTGCAGTCCAAGGGACTCTCAAGAGTCGTCTCCAATACCACAGTTGAAAAGCATCAATTTTTCGGCGCTCAGCTTTCTTCACAGTCCAACTCTTACATCCATACATGACCACTGGAAAAAACATAGCTTTGACCAGATGGACCTTTGTCAGCAAAGTAATGTCTCTGCTTTTTAATATACTATCTAGGTTGGTCATAACTTTCCTTCCAAGGAGTAAGTGTCTTTTAATTTCATGGCTGCAATCACCATCTGCAGTGATTTTGGAGCCCTAAAAACTAAGGTCTGACACTGTTTCCACTGTTTCCCCATCTATTTGCCATAAAGTGATGGGACCAGATGCCATGATCTTAGTTTTCTAATTCCCTTAGCAGGTTATAAATGTCTGCAGGTTTTAAATTATCTCAATTTTGACTTATCTGGAAATGTTATATATTGTCTTCAAGATAATTAATATATTCATTGAATAACGAGTTTTAAATTGGTAGTTATTTTCTTTTATAGTTTTGAAGTTGTTCTTTCCTTTCTTTTGGGTTTCATTGTAGGGAAGTTTATTTTTACTTTTATTGTTGCTCTTTTAAAGATAATTTTTCCCTTCAAACTGATTTTAAGATTGTTTGATTTTGGTTTTGGTTGTTAGCAATTTTTCTAGATAGAACTAGGTGTAAATTTCTCCATTTCTGCCCTACTTGAAGTACATAATGCTTCTGGAGTCTTTATCTTTTTTAAATTATTTAATATTTAATTTTATTACCTCTTTAAACATTGTTTCTGCTCAATTCATTCCTCTCTTTCTTAGGACACCAATTATGGGCATGTTAGAACATTTCTGTTTGTCTTTTACATTAAAAAAGACCTTTTCCTGTGTCTTTTTTCTGCTTCTCTATTCTTCAACCTGATGTTTTCTCTTGAACTATTCTAATTCTCATCTTCTGGGTCTAATTTTCTCTTAGTCCCTACCAGTTGGGTATTTAATTTTAGCTACCTTATCTTTTAATTTCAAAATTTCCATTTGATTTTAAGAGATAGATTCCAGTATAAAATATAAAATCCTCTGTATTTTACCTATGGAGAAGGCAATGGACGCCCCAATCCAGTACTCTTGCCTGGAAAATCCCATGGACGGAGGAGCCTGGTGGGCTGCAGTCCATCGGGTCGCTACGAGTCGGACGCGACTGAGCGACTTCACTTTCACTTTTCACTTTTACACATTGGAGAAGGAAATGGCAACCCACTCCAGTGTTCTTGCCTTGAGAGTCCCAGGGACGGGGGAGCCTGGTGGGCTGCCGTCTATGGGGTCGCACAGAGTTGGAAATGACTGAAGCGATTTAGCAGCAGCAGCAGCATATTTTACCTAATTTCTTCTAACTATGTTATTTTAAAGTCCCTCAATCCTTTATCTCCTTGCACATCTGTTTCTATTTTCTATTTATTTTAATGATTTTGGTTATTTAATCTTATCTTCTGACATGCCTATTAATATTTATTGAAATTTGGACATTGTGCATAAAAAATTTGAGAGCAAACTTGCTGATCTGGATGTAGATGATAGCTGTTACAGTGGTGCTAACTTCCCTAATCTGTTCAATGATTATCTAATTACTGCACCTACTGATTTAGTACCTTGGGAGAAGGAAATGGCAACCTACTCTAGTATTCTTGCCTGGGAAATCCCATGGATAGAGGATTCTGATGGGCTATAGTCCATGGGGTCATAAAAGAGTCTGACATGACTTAGCAACTAAACAATAACAACTAATTTAGTTGATTTAATTTGGACTTCAACCTTGTGATGGCACAGTATTTCTAGTTAATGCCTTCTCCTGAGATGTAGCCCTGTGGGGGTTCCACCTGAAATCTTAGGGTGACTATACAAACACCATCTCCTTGGTTAAGTTCTAGGCTTGAATTTTGCTCCCTGACCCAACTGTCCTTCACTTCTGGGCTTCCTAGCTACCCCTTCCTGCTTGATTTTTCTGCTTCTGAGTAGCCAGTTACAAACAAGAGCGCCTTGAATAAAAAAGAAAATCAAAAATTAGGTTTACCTTTTGTACTTCTATTCTCCTGGGGATTTGGTTTCTTCAGATTCTCACTGCCTGGCCAGCTTTCTGAAGCTTTGAAACCAATAAACTTATAGTCTATCCATTTTTTTTAGGTTGTTCTCAGAGGGTGAGTTTATCTAAAACAGTCTTCTCTACCATTACTGAAAATTGAAATTCCTCCAGCATGAGTTATTTTGAAGCATATAACATTTTTATTCCTGTGACACAAATGGTGCACACCTGCTGAAGCTGATTTTCCAGATGTAAAATATTTCCCTTGCAATTGAAAAGACAAAATCAGGTGTATTTGCAACATTATGTTTGAAATGAGAAATGTGAACAATAAGAATTGAAAAATGTTTGCCTCGAATATTAGAGTTCCAATACTGCAAAGGACACCAGAAATTATTTGAAATAACCAAACTCATAATTCTAATTAGGACCTTTAAGGTATAGAGAACTCAGGGATGGTACAAGTTTGATGCTCCCATAGTTTTTTTAAATAAAGAAATGTCAACTTATAGCTTAAAAATTGGAGTGGTGTTTAAAATATTGATATTTAATAAATCAGCATTTTAAGTCCACTGATATCTATATATTGTTATATGATTTACAAGATATAGTATTTATAAAATATTAATTTACAGGTTTGATACCTGGTTCGGGAAGATCCCCGGGAGAAGGAAATAGCAACCCACTCTAGTATTCTTGCCTGGATAATTTCATGAACAGAAGAACCTGGCAGGCTACAGTCGATGACATTGCAAAGAGTCAGACACAACTGAGAATGCACACGTACATAGTGTGACATAAAATGACAGGCAAGTTAGAGCAGTTTGAGGAACTTATATACTTTCAATATTTGCAATATAGCTTTGTGATTGTATGTATGGTTTCTTATGAGGATAATGTTAAGGGTCTAAAAAATGAGGCTGTGAACAGACACACTTCCCTCCTCTGGCACTTTAATAGACTATCATTTTAATATTCTTTTTCTTTAACTAAATGAGTTGAAGCTAGTGTCATATTGTAGTCAATATTATATACAATGACAGAGCTAATCACTGAAATACATTATGAGAGTAGAAATCCCACAGCACAGAGCTCATCTCTTATCAGTTTTGATAATATCATTGTCTTCTCCACTTCCCATTCTCTACAAAATTCAGTTTGAATGCTTTTTTATAATGGATTCTCATAGTAGTCCTAAAACCTTAACAAATATTTGACAGTTGGCCTTCCTGTAATTTTGCAACTTGGAGTTCATCTTAAGAGCTTGGTTTTTCAATACTAATGTGTCTGAAATTATCTTGAGGTTTTGTGGTTGCTGGTGATTCTCTGCAAAACCTAAAACACTAGCTTCCTTTTGCTTGGTGAACTGTCTAGGTTGTGTGAGTGCTCACAGACCAGGGAAATGCCCAAGCAGCCTTGCTATTAGAAAAGAATTCTATTTGGAAGTCTGTCAGGTGGCCCAACTCTGCACATTTCCCTGAGAAATCTGTCTTATTCAGGTAAGTGCAAAAGATTTGAGCTGGGGGGCATGTATATGGAGGTTATGCATAAAGAGAGCATGCTGGACTTGCCAAAGCTGTTCTAATTCAGAATCTCTGCACAGTCTTACTGCAAAAAAACAAGTTTATTTACACTGATCACAACTCCTTGTTTTAGAAAGAATTGATCTCTTCTTCCTGTGTAGTACACTTGATGTTGAGGGTGACACCCAATTTTTATTAGGGCTTAAATATGAACAAAAATGTTCTCAGAATGTGTTAGAAAAAAAAGAATTCTGGCTAAAAACATCATATAAGATGTCTTTAGGGAATCTGGTATTTTTTTCACATACTATTCAAATGTTTATCTTTGAAGCAGTTCTAGTATTTTTAGTATGAAAATCTTTAAACTCTATCATTTGTAATATTGTCATACATACTTTGAAACCATTCTGGCAACCCTAACTGATAGAAGAAATCAGTAGTAATTAGGTGCTTTGAAATTTCTTAAAGAATATATTCAAAATAGCACATGTGATTTTATGATAATAGTTATCATAATTTTTGTATTTCACATTTATAGTACTACATTACAGGAGAATCAGAAGATAACTTTAAAAATCACTTAATTAGAAGTTAACAATAGCATCTGTTCAAGTATTTTGCTTTAAGTAAATTCCTTCCATACCATTATTTCCGTTTACAAAAGGTATTACGTTTCAAACATGTGGAATAGAAACTACTCAAAGTTAAAAAAAAAAAAAATAGTAACACAGAACCTGAGTTTGAGAGCTTAGTCTTGCTTCTTTAACAAATTTGTAAGGATTTTGGGTAGGTCATTATGTTCTCTGGATTTCAATTTCCTGCAAAATGTCCAATTATTTATCTAAGAAATTGTTTATTAAGTACTCTGAGTACTGCTGTTTTCTTTTTATTGGGTTTAATTCAATCAATAAGTTAGTCAATATTTTAATTGATTAACAGGAGTAATGAGAGACCAATGGAAGAGAAATCAAGTGGTATGAATCCTAGTCCTCTGTTTTCTAGTAACTGAGTGATTTGAAAGATATTTTCTAACCATTCTAGGGCAAGGATTGGCAAATTTTTTTCTATAGGGACTAGAAAGTGAATAATTTAGGTTCTGCAAGTCAACAGGCAAAATTGAAGATAATGTACAGGCTCTTACATAACTGTTTAAAATGTAACTATTTGAAAATGTAAAAGCCATTGATCTGGCCTCAAGGCCATACTTCTCCAGTTCTGATTCTTGGGAATGATTTTTAACAACTATAAAATGGAAGATATAGACTCATTCATGTGACCCCAAAGGAGTTCATGAATGATACTTAAGGTAATTCACCAATCCCCTCATATTGTATACAAAAATCTGAGTGTTTGTAAGTATGTGCTTTTTTAATGGGGAAAAAAAAAACTCCCTCAGATTTCCTTAAGAGCAGAAATGGAACTTCCCAGGTGGCACAGTGGTAAAGAATCCATCTGCCAATGCAGGAATCTCAAGAGATGCAGGTTCTATTCCAGGGTGAAGAAGATCCCCGGGAGTAGTAAATGGCAACATACTCCAGTTTTCTTACCTGGGAAACTCCATGAACAGAGAAGCCTGACAGGATTCAGAACCAACTGAGCACACATTCTGGAATGGTGTTTGTCACATACTGAGTATTCAAAATCTCTGGAGTGAATATATAAATGAATGAAAGAATGAATGAATGGAAAGTTAAAGACACCATCATTGAGATTATGGAGCATAGCTACTGAAGGCTTAGAGCCCCAAATGCTCTAAAAATAGTGGTTGCTAAATCCAAAGATTGCCTTTTCTTTCAAATTTGGATGTAACTGGGATTTCAAAATACTTGGTCAACTAAAGATTGCAGTTCCTGGAGATTATGCCGTTTTTTAAAAAGAGTGAAGTTGGTTGAATTTAATTCACACATTACAGGTTTTCCCAGTAACCTAGCCTCTGGAATCGGGGGATTGGAGAGTGAAGTTTTGTTCATGAGTAGCAGCACTCTTGGCATCAGGCAGGAGACTGTACTGGCTGGAGTGTTACCCATAAATGGAAGGTTTTCCTGGGTAATTAAAAAATCAGACCTAATAGAATTTAGGATAGCAGTCTGCTCCCTGACACAGAAGTTCAGTCTGACCTTCAGAGCCTGGTTAACTGATGACACCAAAATCTGAGCTCCGTTGGCTGGAGAGTCCCCAGAGTGCCCTGAAGTGGGAAATGGCTTGAGATCCAAACATACCTCTTTTCTCTCTCTAGGAATAATTTCATTTTCTGAAAGAGCAATTCAATCTACAATAGCTGGTTTACAGTTCATTCATTTCTTTAGGGAAATTCAAATTTTAAGATTGAAAACAATGTAAGAAATGCGTACTGAAAAAACCTACACAGCTTTGTATAATCTGGTACTATGCCTGAAACATCCTTATTCAAAGAGCGTATCCCACCTCCTCCCCTCCCTACACTATCCCTCCACTTCAGAAACAGCAACTTGCAGTTTACTGTGTAGTGTGATTACAGAGTGCACCTGTGCAGTATCTGTATATTAAAGGGAACATGGTTAGATAGCATCACTGACTCAATGGACCTGAGTTTGAGCAAACCCCAGGAGATAGTGAAGGACAAGGAAGCCTGGCATGCCCAGTCCATGGGGTTACAGGGAGTCGGATATGACTTAGCAACAGAACAACAACAATAATTTGTTCAGCTACATAGAGGTTGTGATGGAGTCATATCCCTGGATCTGCTTAGGGGTTAAGATTAGTCCCAGACAGAGTCCAAAAACCAAAACCTTCATGCATAGAATCTCAAATATGTAACTCATTTCTGTTCTTGGTCCAAGGTCTCACTTAAACGATGACAGGAAGCTCTGTCTCCTCTTGAGGATTTCTGAGACCTGGTTTACATATGGTACAAATCTGAGACAGAGGGTGTCCTTCACTCTTACTGCTGCCCTTGTGTCTGTCTGTGGGTCATCTTCCCACTCGTCTGGGCTGCTTTATTCCAACAGGTAGACAAGACCCTTCCAATTCCCTCTCACACACAACTAACTTGAATCCTGACAGACTTTGTTGGGACAAACTCTTGCTGGGGCCAGATAATCAATATTCTAGGTGTTGTGGGCCATACAGTCTCTGTTCTAACTACTTCATTCTCCAGTTGTAGCATAAAAACAGCCAGAGAAGATACATAAATAAATAAGCATTGCTGTGATCAGATGAAAACTTTACACACATGGCTGGCCCATAGGCTACAATTTGCTGGCCCATGAACTATATTGAAGGCTTGATAATAGCTTAAGAAACTACAATGTTTTAGACAGAAATGAACAATTTCCAACCTAGGGAGCATGTTCTTCCCAACAGCCATTCTCATTAGTCCTTGTTTGAGGCCATGCTGCTGGGGTCTACTTATCATCCCAGGCAGAGGTCTTTTCTCTTCCTTATCTTCACATCCAAAAATTCAGTCTCTTCCTTCCTGCATTAGTCCCCAGTTAGAGGATATAAAAAATTAGTTCATATCATAATCATCTCTGAAGAGCAAGTCCCGTTGAACAGAAATGTGGTCTGTCTAGGTCTGAAGCATGTTCTTAGCGGCACTTACCTCCCATTTGTACAGCTAAAAGATTTACCAAAATTTTGCATTCTTGATTAAAAAAACAGTCTGCCCTAAAAACTCTTTTCTTAACTTTTCCTAAAATTTTGGTAAAGTATACATAACAGAAAAAGTACCATTTTCACTATTTTTATATGTACAGTTCACTGGCATTAAGTACAGTCATTGCAACTAACACTCTCCAGATCTTTTTCATCATCCCAAGCAAAAACTCTGTACCTTTTAAACAGTAACTTCCCATTCCTCCCTGCCCTGGCCCTTGGTAACCACCGTTTTATTTTATGTTTCTTTGAGTTTGCCTATTCAAACTTATTCACATAAATGGAACCATAATATGTTTTTTTGTGTAAAAAGCAAATTCTGGCTTGTATTCTTAAAATTACATGAAAAAATAAACTGCCTGTCTATTCTGGCTTCCAGCTTTCTCTTGTCTAGAGAACACCTGACTCTGTCAGTCAGTTCAGTCACCCAGTCGTGTCCGACTCTTTGCGACCCCATGGACTGCAGCTTGCCAGGCCTCCCTGTCCATCATCAACTCCCAGAGTCCAAACTCATGCCTGTTGAGTTGGTGATGCCATCCAACCATCTTATCCTCTGTCATCCCCTTTTCCTCCTGCCTTCAATCTTTCTCATCATCAGGGTCTTTTCCAATGAGTCAGTTCTTCACATCAGGTGGCCAAATTATTGGAGCTTCAGCTTCAGCATCTGACCTTTCAATATTCAGAACTGATTTTTTTTTTTTAGGATTAACTGGTTTGATATCCTTATTGTCCAAGGGATGCTCAAGAGTCTTCTCCAACACCACAGTTCAAAGGAGTCAATTCTTTGGCACTCAGCTTCCTTTTTGGTCCAACTCTCACACTGATAACATGACTAATGGAAAAACCATAGCTTTGACTAAACACTGTTGGCAAAGTGATGTCTCTGCTTTTTAATATGCTGTCTAGGTTGGTTATAGCTTTTCTTCCAAGGAGTAAACATCTTTTTATTTCATGGCTGCAGTCACCATCAGTAGTGATTTTGGAGCCCAAGAAAATAAAGTCTGTCACTGTTTCCATTGTGTCCCCATCTATTTGCCATGAAGTGATGGGGCCCGATGCCATGATCTTTGTTTTTTGAATGTTGAGTTTTGAGCCAGCTTTTTCACTTTCCTCTTTCACTTTCTTCAAGAGGCTCTCTAGTTCCTCTTCGCTTTCTGCCATAAGGATGGTGTCATCTGCATATCTGAGGTTATTGATTGATCTTTCTTCTGGTAATCTTGATTCTGGCTTGTGCTTCATCGAGCCTGACAGTTCGCATGATGTACTCTGCATATAAGTTAAATAAACAGGGTGGCAACATATAGTCCTGATGTACTCCTTTCCCAAGTTGGAACAAGTCCATT